ACGCCTAGCCAACGTCGTTGGAATACTTTACGAGCCGCGTTTAGCGGCTGGTTACACCCAGATGGATTATTTTCGACGAGAGACCGACCAATTAGAGGCCGTGGAAATTCTCTCGGGTCCACCGTCGTCCCGCCTCTTCTCTTTCCCAACACGGGCCAAGTGGCTGCACGAATCTTCTCACGGGGTGTGGTTTGATCGCCGATACTACCTTTCCATTTTCCCTCCGAATTCGTCGAAACGCAGCTCCCAACCCAACCGCCCGCCTCTCCTTCCCTCGCCATTCGATACGGTCGCGATCCAAACCCGAAAGCGATCACCCATTGGGATTTTTCCAAATCTGCTTTTTCAAGTATAAGTGAAAGTGGAAGTAGCCGAGGACCGACAAAGTCGAGGTACATATTTTCTTTGTCGAGCGGGAGAAAAGGGGAAGGAGGGTAGCGGCACGTAAACATGCTGGTTAGATTCTTCGAATGGCCAAGATGGACCTTGAACCGATAACCTCTTTACCTACATAGGGAAATAATATCGGGGGGTGGGAGCGAGCGGTCGTGGGACACGCGAGCAATTTGGTCAGTTTTCGGTTCGGTCCACTCCGCCGATCTTTTCTTCTGTCGGCCGACACGGATCCCCGCGTATCCGTTGAGTCGTCGAAGGGAACATGTATGTAAACGAGGAGAGAAACTGACGCGCGGCAGTAGGGCTAGTGGTGAAGCGCACCCCCGTAAACGGGACGGTCCTCGTGAAATCTCGGAGCGACTCGGACGGGATCGTGTCGAAAACGAAGAGGGAGAGTGGCGCAAGGCGAACGGTCCGGGTCGGGGAAGCGAGACGAAAAACGGGTCACTCTCTTCTCCTTTCAGGATTCGGTTGGCTGGGATACTACCTCATCCACCAAAGCTGAAAGTTCACGAAAGGGCAATGCCTCGCCCATTTTTATGGAAACGCGGTCCAACTTGGGTCTCGTTTTAGCCCGCCTCTCCCTTCCCTCTGTCCTTTCTTCATTTCAAGCGGCCGATTGATCAGGGATGCCGGTACGCGTCGGTTCCTCTCTCTACCCGTAACGTTCGCTTTCCTCCAGTGGAGCAGGACGGAGCTCGCGAGACGAAAAAGGAATTAACCAGCTAGGGATGGGCTGTCGTCGGATACGGAAGAGATTGCCCCTTCTCTCACCCTTCCTGCAAGCGTGTGCCCAAGTACAGGAGGGGAAGCAGGGGAGAATAGGCGGAAAGGAGCGAGGAGGAGCGCCGGTGGAGCGGCGGTGGAGCGGCGGTGGAACGGTGTGGAGCGGTGTGGAGCGGAGGGTTGCAGAGAAAGGGGTTCTAGAGGGAGAGGGAGTGCGGTTGGGTTGCGAGGGGATGGTCGGGAAGGAGAAGAGAGAGAATCGGTCGGGTCGTATGTTGCGGGCTGCTGCGGCTCGGGCGCGACAGTTCTACCCCAACCATTGCCGGTTGATTTTCGCGAGGCGAACGCGTACACGATAGAGTGCCGGGCGAGTAAGGGAGGAGGAGAGCGCGCGCGCGCGTCACAAAAAGGGGTTGAGAGAGGGAGAGAAGGAGTCTGACCCTTCCGACGCTCGGGAACGGTCCAAACGCAGATCCGTTCGCGATCCGCGACCGTTCGGCCCTGTTTCATTCCCCGTCGCCGTTGCCGTGCTCGGTGTTTCGTCGTCGGTGACACGGTCACGGTGCAACGAACGCCGCGTGAGGGTTGATCGTCCGCGACGGAAACGTTCGAAGGAGGAGAAGGATAAGAGAGAGCCAGCATCGTGCTATACACGGCATGTGGAAACGCTTCGAACCGAACGAGACCGAGGCACGCATCGCGTCGCCGGAAAATCCGCAAACTGAACGCTCCGAAGCCACTCTCCCGATCTCGGTCGCCCTCGCGATACCGAACCGTCGACCTTTCGCCGAGATTTAATCCGACGGAACGTTACTCAGCGGAGTGGCGCGATCGATCCTCGCGAAAGGAGAGAAACGCGCGATTTTCGTCGGTGGCTCCTAGGCCGTCGAGTCGAAGCGAGTGGGGAAGGTACGTGTGGGTGAGCAGGCTGCTAGAGATGACGAGTAAAGATCGAACGGCGAAACGATACGAACGGAACGAATCGATGATCAAGAATACGCGGTAAACCGTCGCTGGACGCAAAGAGGGGAGAAGAGGGGAGAAGAGGGGAAAAGAGAACGCGTTTCGCACCACGTTCCGACGCACACGCGTCCTCGATCGAGATCGAGATGAAACGGACGAGTTAACGACGTGTCGCGTTACGACCGAACGTGTGTCGGCCGTTCTTGCTTTGTCCTTTACCCTTAACTACCCCTTATCACTTAACAGTGTTCGATACTAAATAGCTGTTACATATAATATATCTATATATATACACATGTTAGATCCACACGAAGCACAGCATTGCGCGCGAATCTCTATATGCCCCGTTATTACGTCATAGATTATAGACTGTTACGCGTTTCACGATAATCGGATGTGTTACAACATGTAGAAAGGGGAGGATAAGGCGTTGAAAAGTTGGAGAGTCGCGACTTTTCGAGATATTTCGACGAAAATTCTCGGCCCGTTCCCACCGTTTAGGAAAGGATGCTCAATTAAACGCAAGTACAAAGATTCGCGAGAGCAGAAGCTATTTTTTGGGAATCGCGCGAATGTAACTCACTCCGTCGGCGCTCAGGTGAACACTGTGCAGAGGAATAGGAATGTGAAAGAAGCTACCTCAAACGCGGTTCGCGTTCGAAAGAAAGAAAGAGAGAAGGGTGAGGGAGAGAGATCGGGAGCGTCGGTCCAGGAAAAGGAAACAGAGGATATGCGTTGGTTCGAGGCGACAACTCGCGACCGTTTTCGAGGCAATGCCGCGACGTACGAGGGAAGTTGAGATCGAGCGGCACCGGATCGATATGCTCTCGCGGGAGCGTCGGAACCTCGATACCAGAAGAACACGACGAGAAAGTAAAGGCGAGGAAAGGCAGAGTGAATCATGTCGTGGGAATCGATCTCGTCGCGAGATTACCTCGGGCAAGTATCGGAGTGGAGGGGATAAGGTCGAAATTCGGCTCGGCGGAAGGAAGGAAACGGAAGGAACGGGAGGGGCAATTGTCGCGCGGTACCGCGCGCTACTCGGTATATAGGTCAGGAAATGAGGTCACACAGGTGCCTCGCCCACCACGGTGACTAGGACGCAGGTCGTCGTTCGTAGTTGGCCTGGCAAACGGAATTCCGCGATCGAATTCGCGCGTCTCCTCCCCGTCTGCGGAGGGACGCGCGACGTCTCCTAAACCTGAACCTAATTCGAAAGATCGCGTCGGGACGGTGATGGGGACGGGGGCGGGACGGGGGAGGAGGAGAAGGGTCGCAATGCGGTACGTTGATCCGCGAGTAGAGGAGAAAGGGCCGCCCGCCCTCCCGGCTTCCGTACACCTTCCGAACGCGGAGAAGATCGAGGAGAAGATCGAGGAGAAGACGATCGAAGGAATGGGATTGTTGCAGCGGGCCGGCCAGTCATCAGCTGTCCGCAACCGCTCTGCTGGGCAGTCCGGACGGATCGCGGCACCCGTTGGACGTGTGCGAGTTCACCGAGGAGGACTATCGGCATCAGAGCTCGAACGGGAACGGGCACTATCAGAACGGCAGGTCCGGCACCGGTCTCTGGGAATGCCTGATAGGCTGCAGACGTCGGTTCGACCAGCATATGGCTCGAAGACGGGTAAAACGCTTGCGCGACGCTTTGCTTTCTCCACCGAGGCCGACTCGACGCTTTTTTCACGCGCGACCTCCTTCCGTCGGTCATTGCCGACGATCGAGGGTGTCACGCTAGCCGTGAAATCGATTCGTACTCACGCGCAACCCAAGGACGATTATTATCGGCTACTAGCCAGGAAGGGGAAGAGGGGGTAGCGAGTAGAGGAAGTAATTTCCGAGTGAGACTGATCGGAAAACTGCGGTGAAACGTCGAGCCGAGCGGCCCGACGAGCGCGTTCGAGGCTCGCTTACGTTCGCCTTCGCTCCCTCCAGACCGCTTTCCTCGAGGTCGAACCGCGCGCGCTATTTACGTTACACACGGGATCGCTGGATCTTCATCGGTGGAGGAAGTTCAAGGCCGAATCGATACGACCTTCTCGCGGTCGCTATGGTTCGGTGAAGCGCGCGCGTTAATCGGCAGGGAACGCGTGACGCGGACCATTTCCGTTCCGCTCCTTCTCTCCTCTCCTCTTCTCCTCTCTTTCAGGTGGAACAAGGCTTGAAGCTGTACCGCGCCCACAAACAACAGGCTGCCGTCCGCAAATGGAGGGGTGCCTTGAAGAATATCAGACAGCGAGAGGATAAATTCGCTCTTCTCGGATATCTCTACCAAGCCTACATGGATTGGGGGAAGTACAGGTAGATGAGAAGGGAATCGTGTCCGCGGTTCGTGCGTTCCGCCGAAAAGCTCAGGTCGGCAGGGGCTGTTCAACCCACTTCACCCTCCTCGAGAACACCGTCCCTAGTTTAGAGTACCGAGCAGTAAGAGAAAAGAGCTTAATAGAGAGATCGTAACTGAGAGATAGTGTTTAGTTGGCGAGACGCGCGAGCCGCGCGAGACACTCGGAAGGAGAACAAGTTCGAAAATCCTTGACACGTTAACGAAGCGTTTTCGCTGCTTTCCCTGGAAGCGAGACTCGAGAAAAGTCGAGTCAACCAGGCGGCCTCGTTGAGCTCGTTCTTGCTCGCGAAGAAGGCTCGTTACGCTCGTTTCCACCAACGGGCCGCTCTAGAGCCGCTCTAGACCCGCTCTAGAACCACGACATAATCGTCTCTCTCTCTTTCGCAGGGACAGCATCGATTTCGGGCACAAACAGTTGGGCATTTCCGAGGAGCTCGATTCGCCGAACATGCGGGCGGAGGCCTACTTGAATTTGGCCAGAGCGCACGAAAGATTGGGCGCGCTCGACAGAGCCTTGGACTATGCGAGGCACAGGTACTATCTAGCGTCAGATATCTATCCCGTTCCCGGCATTCTCCCTTCTCGACGTATCTTCGATACGAACTCTGACGTTGCGTCCTTTGTCTTCTCCCCCCGACCCCTCAGCTTGTACAACGAATGCGATCAGTGTGCGACCGCTGGACTGGTTCATCTGACCGTGGGCAGAGTTCACTTGGAACTAGCAGGATTCTGCAAAGCTTTGGAAGCGTTTCAACGAGCCCACAAGATTGCTCATTCGATTCAGGATCCCTCGTTGGAATTGCAGGTGAGAGTTCGATTTGCCGAAACCTTCTCCGGCGAAAGAAAATCCATTTTCGCAATCACAGGTCTACGTGGGTTTGTCCGAGCTGTTCTGCACGATCTCTCGAGAAGTTTGCAGCTGGGTGATTTGAATTCCCGTCATCACAGAGCGGCTCTCCTCCAGATGGCCTCGGCACTCCGGAAAAAAGGAGACCTCGGCGACGCCCACGATTATTGTTCGGTAGGATTGTGTTATTTTCTCCTTTCCTCCTTCTCTCCTTCTCCCGTTACGTATATCGAGACTGTTCGATCGACCACCCCACTTGCTGCCTGCAGGAGGCAACGCGACTGTCGCTCGTTTCGGGAGACCAAGCCAGTTACGCCAGGAGTATACGAATAATGGGAGACATTTACAGAAAAAAGTCCGACATAAACGTAAGTTGAGCGAAACTGTAGGAAAACCGTGTGTACGTGCACGTGTAATACGAGCCGGAATCGATCGGTCGTAGAAAGCGTTTCGACAGTACGAGAGCGCGATGGGAAGCGCGGCAGCGACCGGAGATCGTCTCTGTCAAATGGAAGCGATGGACGGTGCCGCGAGGTGTCTCGAGGCGCTTCGTCTTCAACACAAAATATGCAATTGTCGTCCTCTCGAATTCAACACGAGGCTGCTCGAGGTAGCTGGATCGGTCGGTGCTAAGGTAAGAGGTTCTTCGTCTTCCCGTGTTTCTCTTCGATGATGTATTTCTCCCTTCCATTCCCGCTTCCTTTCGCGCCACGCGCGCGTGCACACACACATTCCCCCCCCCCTCTCTCACTCTCTCTCTCTCTCTCTCTCTCTTCTCTCTTTTCTCTCTGGAACGTAGTTCCTGGTACGAACCGTGAGATCGAGGCTCTCGCGAATTTACGGTTCTCTCGGAGACGAGGAACAGAAGGCTCATCACGAGAGATTAGCCGCAGCGATGGAGGAAGATTTGGAGTTGCGATGCGGTGGCTGCAACGAGCCTTTCGGCCTCGAGGCCGATTCGTTGGAAGCGCTGCCCTGCTCTCACATATTGCATGCCAGGTGAAGCGACATCGAAACCGTTCTACTCTCTATCGTTTACCCGCTCTCGTGTGCTCCGGCTCGACGCGCTTACACCGCAACCGTCGTTTGCAGGTGCGCCTACGACATCTTGAAGAGACGCGACAAAAAGAAGAAACGTCTGTGTCCCGATTGTCACAAGTCCGTTAGTTCACGATTGTACCTGCATTGCGAAGACCCTCACGGCATGAATACTTTGAATCACAGTTCCTTGAGTCTGGCATCCTTGAGAGCCAGCAGTCTAGCCACGCTGGACGACTGTCACGCAACGAGCAGTGTCTAAACGCGCCGGCGCGGCGCGACACGGCGCGGCAATCTAGGCAATCTAGGCAATCTACCATTTCTTTCTCGATCAGCTCGAGAACGTCGCCGCGCGTTCTTCGATATCGCGCCCGCATCCCTGTATACCCCTATACCCCGAAAACCCTTGCCACGCTACTTTGCGCTGTGCCATCTTTTCTTTTCGGGGTATACGTGTGGTATCGAGTTTCCGCGATCTGCCAATTAAACCATTAGAAATTAACGTTCTTCAACGCGTGGATCCTCCGTCATTTAACCATTCAATTAGGACGAAGAAATTTCAACAATACCTACTAGCACGATTCGAAAAGACTTAATGGAATGCAATAAAAATGCACATTCAATCACTCGTCTTTTTCAATTATATACCCCACCCCATTTTTATTCGTTTCGTTGACAAACTGAAAAACATCACGCAATCAACTGGAGATCCTCACAATTTCTACGTTCGTTCGGAACTCTACGAAGATGTCAAAGAAAACGCGACGATCAATTTGCTGCCCTTTCAAATATCGACGCGCCAAAATCACCTCTTCTTTCGAAACGTTATCGAATCGAATCAGATAGTATACTATCGTATCGAATGTATCGATAGTCTAGTTCCTTCGAAATCGATACGACAGTATTGTTTCGAGCTTCGAGATACTATATAGGTTCCCCAGGAACCGCCACGACATCTACAATACGATTCGGAATTTACAACGTACGACCGCCATGACAGCTGATGCTTTTCGTATCGCTTGACGTTTAGTCAGAACATGTCATTTTGCACATTTCATTTCGACAAATGGCAGACTTCTTTTTCGGTTTTGATACGTCGCTTGCAGTAAGTAAGCTCGTTCTTAACGGAGATACCCATAATTTTCTACTCTGTTTCATAAGAGTAGAAAACGCCACGACGAAAGTACGAGATCGTACGAGATTTTCACCAACAGCCAGCCGCGTCGTGCTTTTATCCGACCACTAACAATTAAAAAGTGTTCGCGTAATCCGATAAACAGTCCATTGTTTGCGCTGTACAAATCAGCTAAGCCTGTTAAATGTATCGCTGATACCCCGAGTCCATCCGTCCCCTATCTTTCTACATATATTGTTTCAAAAATACGCAGTACGTACAATTACCTCCTCGAATCGTCATGGAGGTACGTCGCATAACCTCGCCAATGCCTTGATCCCTTCAAAGGTCATTAACACTGCTACCTCTGTGTTAATTATTCTTATCTTTAGTTTTACCTCCTACACTTTCTTCCTCCTGCTCAATTTTCTTCCAATTCATTTTGCGTATGTATGTGTGTACTACCTACGTAACGTGTTCCGCACAAAATTAATCGACCGAACCGAAAACAACCGTTCGTTCGATCGTTTCTTCGATCTACCTTTACCGTATCGAGATTTACTTTTCTCTAACCGCGATACCACCCTCTGGTAATAGATCACCCAATCTTGTTGTTTTAATTCTATCCTCACGCTCTCGTCAATTTATTTTCTTTCATTCGTACAGAATAGCAGTTTAGAAGATGGTTTGGATTGTCCTTTCGAGGATGATCTTGGGGAAGAGGAAGAGTACGATGCTTTGAACGATGAAACCTTTGGTTCTGAAGCCACTATCGGCGATTGGGAGAAGGACCATGAGAAACTTGCAGAGATTACCGAATCCAGTCGACGGCCTTATCATCGAAATACTTTAGGCAGAAAAGTAAAATTACCACAGTTTTCTTCCTTTTTTCTACCAAAATTATATCTATCTTACAACGGATCTTCCTACTGCTATTCCTTACAGAATGGAGTTAATACAGATATCGAAGATAATTTATCCCACTTGGTGTTAGATGAGAAGGAAGGTATTGTGCCACGTCCTGGAGTATGGGATAGTCCCTCTAACTTATCCCCTCCCAAGCTTCAACCACCTTTAAATCTACCAACAACTTTAACGAACGTATGCACCGTCGAGGAATTGGAAAGAGGTCTGATTGCGAATAGACCACCACCTCCAGGATTCAATAAACCTGCTCAAACGCAACAGCAATTACAACGTCCACAACAACACCACCTGCACCAGCAGCAACAGAAACCCGATGGATCGCTTCTTTTCGATTCCTTGTCCGCCCCACCACGCTATCCGCCAGGGCTGGGTATGCCACCTCCGCATCCTGTTATTTTACCACCAAACTTGAGATTCCGACATCCTCAATTTCTACAACATCCTAGATTATTACCCAGTAAGTATATTAGAAGATGGTTCAATCTTAACATTGGTAAATGAAAAAGGCGTACATGATGCACACGTGAACGAGCACACATACGCATCAAAATCTGTATATCTAATCCAACGATTTATTTCTATAGATCAAACTGGAAATGTTTTGAGATATCCTGTAGCGACGCATTTGATGCTACCGCACGCTGCGCAGAGACAGCCAATTCACGGTTCGTTTTGCAATAATTTTCCTGTAAGTTTCATCAAGCGTTTTACACTATTCTATTCGAACATTTTTTCACGAGAATGTCCAGTGAAGGAGTATTTTATTCAAATTCCTCGTATTTTTTCAGCAACCTCCGCATTCGAATTTATGTCCTCCACCGTTTGTACGAGCAGACCATGGCATGATGCCTCCTTTTTCTAGCAATCAAACTGCTCATCAGCAGCAGCAGCAGCAACAACAACAACAACAACAACAACAACATTCGTTTACCCATCTTGGAAATCAAAGAAACCAAAGTAGGGCTTTTCATCATGGGGAGCAACAAGGAAATCACCAACCATTTTTTAAAAACAATCAACATCATCGTAACCATGATCGAATTAATCAGCGACACTATCATTATAATCACCACTGTCAAGGAATAAATGGGGTGACCGGTTCAGGAGAATATGACGAATACGCCGGTCTCATGAGCAGCCGGGAAAAACAGTGGTTGATTAATATTCAATTACTGCAACTTAATACAAACGAGCCGTACGTTGACGATTATTATTACATCGTGTTTTGCGATAGAAGAAACAAGCAAAGTATAAATCAAGAGCAGAAAGATAAGAAGCAGCAGAACAACAACAATAATAATAGCTATCACAGAGATTCTAGGTAAATCGTTTACTCTTCCTTCCTTTTCACACCACCTCCTACCCTTACACCCCTTATGCTCTGTTTCCGTTTTCGTTTTTTCACAAACAACATTGTCACCTTTATTTTCAGAGATCGAGAACAACCACACCATGTTCCTTCGAGGTCCATATACACACCGACGCAATTTGAAAATTCTTTAGGAAAATTACAGTTTGCCAGTGTGATCGCACCACGCAAGGTCATCGATATGGATGTTGTACCAAACAGTGATCCCCAATTAGCTACGCAAATACAACAAAAAGATACGAAACGAACAAGACAGTTGTTACTTGAAATTGAAAGGGTATTAGTTCTTTTTTATCATATCTTTCTAATTATTATAACGAAACGTTGGAGCTGGATTGTTTAGTTGTGTGTTACCTGAAACAAACCGAAAAAAAAAAACAAAAAACAAATGCTGTTTGCAGTTATATATAATCCAGTTAAAAGTTGAAGATCTGCACAATCCTTTGGCTCTGCTTAGCGAACAGCAGCAACAGCAACAGCAACAACAAAATCAGGAAGAGGAGAACGATGCGAATAATGTTAAGAAAACTAGCCCGAATTTAATAAACACGATGTTATCGACTCTTCTTCAGTTAATGCAGGATGATAAGTTTGCAAGCATGCTAAGTATCCGTAAAGGAAAGGTAAGTGAAGTGAAATGAAATGAAAAGAAAGTACGCTTTGTAATAAAAACATATACAGGTTGGAACTTGAAAGGAAGAAAAACAATGTTTTGATCGTTGGAATGTCATTCTGTATCGCAGACGCTGTTGTTGAGGTTCTTGCCATACTTGAACGTAACGGAACATCCTGATCAATTAGAAGAACTATGGAATGCGATATTCCGAGGATTAGCTATAATAGGACGTAGGGATTCTCACCTGTTGATAAACCTACATTCGGAATTTCAACGTTGGTTCAGTACCGTTCAAAACTTTGGTACGATACTTCGACTAGCTCGATCACTCTCCGACACCGCAAGTCAACCAATCAAGAACAACAGTTTAGCGTTCGCTCTGACAAACAAGGTTCGTTTTCTCAAAATCAAATAACCTTAAACTTTTTCATTTTTCCTTTGTCTTTTTAGGTGTGTCTGTAATTGCCTCAATGTTTCAACAAGCAGAAAAGTTATATCCTGCGGACGATTCTTTGTCTTCGGAATGGTCATCTTTCATAGCGAACATCATCGAAATAATTGGTGAAAATCCACCCTGTGTCGCGCCTTGTCAACCGATTGCTGCAAATACGCTCAATCAGCATTTCAATCGACTGTCTCGTTTAAAATGCGGGAGGTACACAACTCTGGAACTTTTACTAACCGATGCCAATCCTTCTCGATAGTCGAACGTCGTTAGATGTTTTCCACATTTCATTAAAACCTGCTTTTTATTACGATTCAACGACAAATTATGCTGAAGCAGATTTCCAGATATTTTAATAATGCTACTACATCTTTAAGGTTAATCAAACACTTTTTCCATACGACTATATATACTTTAGTATGATCGATACAGATGTTTCACATAGTAGACCTACGCATTATCCCTTCGTTTTAAATACGATAGCAGGTCGACATTTATCATCATCATCATCATCATCATCATCATCGAAGATAACGAATAAGTTTCGCTTCACATCTTGTCTAGTGTTTACCACAGATGTGGGAAAATTGTTTGTAATCGTACGTTTACTAGGTAAAGCAGGTATCGATTACATTCTACGCATAAACTGCGCGTCTTATTTCCTATATCCTTTGTTTGTAGTTTTTTCCCTTCCTTTTCATCTCTCTCTCTCTCTCTCCCTTTCTCTCTCTATCTATCTATCTATCTTTCTCTCTCTATCTATCTTTCTCTCTCTCTCTCTCTCTCTCTCTTTGTTTTTGTAAAATACGACTTTAGTTGTATTCGCACGATACTAAAATGTAAGTTCATCGATGTCGTTAAACGTGAACGTGCGTGATTCAATTTGTTCGCGCATTGTAGTATAGTGTGTTGCGATTTCGAAGGTATGTAATATGTCGTCTGGACTTTGTTCAGACTTTATGTCGTTGACATTAATCGTTAGTCGAATCCACACCCCTTTATCAGAATAGACGTGAAAACAAGTACTCGCAGTTGCATAGCCCTTCCTTTCTCTTCACACTATTTAACTCTTATTTTTTCTTTTCTCCTTGTTTGTTTCGCCTTACATTTTTCCCCTTCGGTATGAGTCGGAATTTGGGTGCGTACTTCTGCCAAACGCTTGATAGGGGATGGAAAGTTGTGCAAAAGTACATTTATGTTGAAAAGAACGAATTCAGAACTTATTAATCTCGTTTACGATTTTGAATGTTACACAGTGCAGCAGCGTATTACTTGATAAAGTCAGCTCTTTATTGAAAAAGATCAGTCGCATAAGCTAGTAGATGATCTTTAGGCAAGAAGAATAATTATATACGAAAATAGCATTGTTTATCCGTTTGCGTGGCATGTTTCGTAAGACGGATGGAAGGTACAAGAAACGTTTATGCAATGATTACGTCAGTTTCTATATCAAGAGCAGGAACATGGCAAGATTTTTGCGTATAGCGTTCGAAAAAATTGCATCGTACCAATGTATATAATATATACGTATACCTATATATACTAGATAGCTATGTACGTATACGTATATATAGATATATCGTAAACGTTAGAGAGACACGCAATTCCGACGATCTCGTCTTGTCTCTGTCGTCTATTCGTGAAATTTCCGACTATTTGATGAATATTTTAAAAATAGGATTATTGTCGTGAGGTAAACTGTTGCGCACCTATCATGTGATCATATTAATAGAGAATGATCGCAGAGACGATTACGACGAGTAGCGAGAGAGCCCGAAAAGCGATTTGAAAATATATACGACGACATGGCCTTTAGTACACAATGTAAATGGTTACTTTTAAACGCAGTACACACTCATAAATTCTTATGTACATTTAGCTTGTACATAAAGCGACTCTGATGAATGAATGACTTCATATATTTTGTAATTGGATGCGAAAGAAAATTTATTTTTCGCTTCCGCGACATAGCGTTAGGTGATTTTTGCAAAAAAGAAAAAAAAATTATAAAAATCATGAAAAAGATGGATCGCGTTATTTTTTAACGCCTGTAGCGATTTTGAAATCGACCAACTACTTCGGCATTTCTAAATTGCGTAGCCTGTGTACGTTGTAAAACTATGTATTGCGTTGCATCGTGGTCCAACACTAATACTCGATCCTTTTATAACGTTAAGTTTCTCTCTCTCTCTCTCTCTCTCTCTCTCTCTCTCTCTCTCTTTCTTTCCTTTCTTTTCATTTACATTTTCACTTTTATTTCCAATATATTTTATTTTATCTAACTGAATTACGTTCAAGTTTTCCACGCTTGAATATTTTCATTGGTAATTTCGACAAGTCTTTCGTCTTTGCATTCGGTATCGTAATTCGACATGATACACGAGTGTGTAGCACTGAACGTAAGAACAACTATTGTTTACGTTGCGAACAGAAGCTATATAGTTGAAATTTTATAAGAAACTAAATATACTTATCATTTGTAAAATAACGATGAAACGATGACCGAGCTAAAGTAAGCACCTTTTCTATTCCTTACTGTTGGATAAAAGATATTTGTTGAGACTGTACAAATTTTTTAATCTTTGAAAGTAAACTGTATCATAAAGTTTAATTCGCGTTATCCCTTGCATATAATCTTGCAGATTTTACACATACATACATACATGCATACATACATGTATCTTTTCGTTTTGTTTCTCTGTAAATACTATCAGGAATGTACTGTGTAACGATAAGAAACTGGTGTATCGTTGATTTTACGCAATTCGAATGATTTTAGCGTGTATAAGCGGTAGTAAGTGACAGAGTACCGTTAACATATACGCGTATACGGTCGCGTGTACATACAATTCAATTATACGATTCAGTTCTATCTGAAGAAAATCGTCGAATCGCGAAAGTAACTTTTTATACAGAATATCTAAATACGAGTAAGCATGTAGTAGAAATGACATGTCGTCGCGTGAAATAGCAATTGAATTTCTCTTCTATAGTGCATGTTTCTAACAATAAGTATAGGTGTATAGTGAAGTAAAAATAATTTCGCAAAGAGCAAGAGAAAAAGATATAACACACGATAGGTATATAAATACACGGAAACTATTTAGAATTAGTTTATCGAACGAATCGAAGAAGCACGTTTCTTCATTTTTCATTAAAGGATCATATATACATATATGTATATTTTTTTATAGTAACGTCGCGTTTATTGCGTTTATACGAGGTAATCTCTATAGAAGCGAATTCAGACGTAGAATAATGTTTTCGAAAATTGAATACCGACGCACCGATGGCTCGATAAAATCGTGCGTTGTGAATTTTTCGATGCGATCAAGAAACATAGTTCTATTTAACGCATATGTACAGAATCGATGTACATAATTGCAAAATAGAGGAGTAAATAAATGTTTTGCATTCTACGTAACTGATTCTTTTAATGTCGCACTTAATGGTGCGACAAGCGTTAACAATAATCGCACGTATAAATATTCAAGAAGGAATTAGAGAGAAATTAGAATGGTATAGATGAGGTTTGCCGCGCGCGTCTGTCGTTTGGATCGAATATAAGAGAAGGTTAGAGAAGGCAGCAGGAGTAAGTAGGGGAAAAAAATTTCTGTAATACCGACGTAGGTATTTGTGGCGAAAGAGTGACATTCGCTGGTTCGGTTCTCATTGGCGCTGTTGTTCGCGCAACGTTTCTCGCATGCTACCCGTTGTAGCACAGCTACTCGTTTAACGAATATTAACCGATGAGACTGTGGTTTTATTTTTCTAGTCGATGTTATTTAGTATCGGTGTTTCCCTAATCAATTATTTCTTCGTGGTCAAGTGTAAAAATTCGGCTTGATAACTTGGCAATTCTTGTCTCTAAGAGGTTGTTTCGTATTGGCAGGTGTTTCATTGTCATAACGGATGAAATGAATATTTTTCTCTGGAAAGGTCATTTCGCTTTGCCCGAGAAATTACAAGTACTCTTTGTTTGGTGTATGGAAAACTGTTGAGTCACCTGACCAATTGATCGAATAAAATTGACGAATGATTGCGAACAACGTTGAATTTGTGGTTACCAAAAGTGTGTCTCTTGGTGAATAAAACTTTGAACTAAATCAAGTAAGTAGTGGTAAAATTGTGAAAAAAAAGGAACCGTTTGTATTTGAGTTAAAGAAGAATTATCCAGAATTATCAGATTGTTGGTTCTATCATATTTTTCTCTGTACATCTAATATTTAAGAATAGTACCCTTTGGTTCGATTGGAACAGCTTGATTTTATAGCTTGAACTTGCTAAAGCCCTGTTTGATACAACTAATATCATACTAAATGTTGAAAGAACCGTTTTGTTAGGAATAAAGGGAGGTTTAATATGGGAACCACCTGTTAGAGTTTTGCCAATTTAAAATGTCAGAAGGTAGCGTTAACTGAAATACGCTTAAATTAGTGGTGAATTGTTATCGCGCAAAGCATCAATGGTGAATGCAATACGGGTATTTTGTGGATATCTACTCTATTAAATTGAAAAGAATCGTACCATGTATGCACTCAACGATGTACCATTTTCTATGCTTTTTCTAGGAGAAAAAAATGTATAGTAGAAGGTAACGTTTGGAGAAGATTAAGCTATGGCCAATAGAAAAGACAAATCGTCTGCAGGTTTTGTAAGTATCTGGATGTTAAATGTTAAAAGGATAAATTACGGAGTGTACACGCGTAACGGTGATATTAAGAGTAGGGTATAAAAATAAAAGTGCGGGAAAGATAGAGAAAGCAAAGTCAGCAGATTTAGGATTTTCGTTTCTATCGGAACGCGATATCGGTTTGCATAAAATTTGCCAACTGTAATAAGTAATAAGAGAATTTAGTGAAATGTGAAATAGAAATGCGTGAAAAGTAAAGTTTTCTCGACAGCGATACGAGAACGGTGCACACATGTATCTATGTATGCTGCATTTCCGGTCGTATACTTATCGGTTTTTTCGCGGCGTAACGCGCGATAAGGAAAAAAATGTTGCTCGGTTTGAATTTCGAGGACAAGTACAAAATAGTTGAGAAGTTTGGTCAATACCAAAGGAAGAAAGAATAGCGATGTTTTCGAATACGATAATCGAAAAATGAAATGCCATGTTCTACATGACTCACGACGAATCGTTCAAGGTGAATTGTTTCATATACGGAAAATACTACGTTACCCGTAACGCTTGTAACCGTAATGCGCCACGCATAAAATATTAGGACAAGGTAACGAGCTATCAGGGACGCGACAATTTCCATCCATGTACCTTGCCTTTTTTTCTCGGAGATCCGAAATCTTTTCGCGACATTTTCGAAGAAGTTAACTAGTCGAAAACCGGTCTTCTCTCTTCACGTTCCGCAAGTATAAACGTTTTCTTCCTCTTTTGTTCTAACGGGTTAACGAGGGTAATGTAATAGAGGACGATGGAAGAAAAACGGCACGAAAGCACGCGGTCGTTGTGGGTTACATCATCGACAATTCGCACAACTGATCTCATCTCTCTCTGTTCCTTTGTGTGCATTTAGCGTTTTAGCGTTGGTCGAATTGTCATCGCGCATTTCGTATGCGTAAAGAACAGTAGAAGAAGTAGGTTGATGCATGCGCACATTTTCAAATGTGCTCGGAGATGCAGTACTTACTCGCGTACCTTTTGCAAACGCATAACAACGTTGCCGATGTTTTGGTAATCGCGGAGATAATGTTTTTGTACGAATTTCCGAAACCTTGAGCTATTCACGGGCATGACGTATACCCGTTGGTGACGTAGGTGACGTAGGTTACGTAGGTGACATAAGATACGAGTGAGTCACCGGGAATTCTCGCCTGTTCGCTCGCGCAGGGGTTGGTGGAATATGTACCGGGGCACAGTGTGAACGTCGAGAAGAGAGCGATAAAACGAATGAAAATTGGTGGAGAGAAACGGTTGCGGCGGCGGTGGCCGAACGTGGGTAGAGTGAGTCGCCACTCCACGCAGGCGCGTTTCTCCTATTAGGTTCTTTCGGTCCGTTCGATGACTCCCCAACGATGCCGTTACCTGGAACTTACCTCCCGATTCGAAGGTCGCGTCGGCCGGTAGCGTTTCAGTCTTAGTCCAAACTTGAGATAGGCGCGCGCGCTCATCTCGTCACGCCGCGCTGCTTTGCACTTAAGTATGTCGCCTCCAATAGCCGCGCGTATCTCTAACTTGAAAAAGTCTTTTTATCGTGGACAATCGGCAAGCGGAGGAGGTATCTCGCGTTGCAGTATCGCGATAACGGCAAATGCGTAAAACGCGTGAACCTGGAAGAAAATCGGCGAAAGGTGTGGAGAGCGAGAGAAAGACTGTTTTATGAAAAACGGGGCCCGATGAATCGCGCGATCGAACCGCGTCGTTACCGTTACCGTTACGTACCACAAAATAACTCTCCGTTCGTTGCTTTGCACCTTTCCACCGATGATTACGGATTGGGTAAGATTTCTGTTGTGTACGCGCGCCAAACTGACGTTCCGAGTAGAATCGAAGCGAAATAGAAGCGAATAGAATAGAAGTAAGGAAGGAAGTAATCGTTTCAGCTGGACACATGGTTCGGTCGACCAAAAAAATCCGGGCGTGGAGGTGGGGTCAGAAGTGGTTCGGGAAACAACACGATACCCCGGCCCCATTCCGGCGATGATTTCAACGAGATCGAACAGCAACGTTGTATCATCGAGAGGATGGACAAGGAGATGGTGAACGAGAAATTCGAGGAGATGTTGGTGAGTGCGAAGAGACTGATGTAGCGGAAGAAGATGTAGCTGAGGATATTTTTTCGCGTGTAAACAGGCCAATATGAACCTGACCGAGGAGAAGAAGGAGCCGTTGAGACAGCAGTCGGAAGCGAAGAAGAAAGAAATGCTGGTTTTGCATTACAAAGGTAGCATACAGGAAAATAGGTCAAAGTTCGATAAACCAGCGGATTACATCCAATATTTGGCGCAACCGGACTTGAGCGTGAACAAAATCTACAACTGCATCGAGTCGCTGAGAATAGCGTTGACGAACAATCCTCTGAGCTGGGTTCAAGAATTCGGCACGAAGGGATTGAAACAGGTTTTAGCCACGCTGAACGAGTGCTATCGGAAGTAAGTATACCCGATAAAGACAATCGTTGCGTGGTGTCATGGCATCGGTATTCGATATTCGATATTGTCCGATATTCAGAATTTCTAATATTCTCGTGTTGTTCTATTACAGTGCCTTCATATATTACGATAGGTAATTCACGTAAAAATACTATTTGCTTTCATTTTATTAGCGAGTTAGTTTCCTTTTTTCGCTCTTAGCTTTCGGTATTAATTTGGATTAGTACGCGCGTGTGCGTGCCTACGTGCGTGCGCGCGCGCGCGCGCGTCAAAGAGAAACGACGAGATCGTACAATACATCTACCTATACGTGTACATGCACCGTGTACATTTATGGGCGAGATTCTTACAATTTCCGATTTAAACGATCCTTTGCGGAATATTCCTATTTCGGTAATTGACGTTAATCGGCAGAACGCGTAGTGTCTACTCGTTGGTTTATTGCATGATCACCACCTGGCTGTGCGATGCTCCGCGTACGGTAGTATTGCTCGACTAGTCGAACACCCTTCGAACAGTTGGGCGGCAACTTTTCATTTTCCGTTCGTCGCGTACAGAGTTTTACTCCACGCTGATAAATCGATACTTTTCTCTCCTGGAACAGCGACAACCGATACGAGCGTATACAGTACGAATGCATCCGATGTTTGAAGGCTATTATGAACAACACCGTTGGCATAAAGGAGATGTTGGCTCATCACGAAGCGCTCACGATCGTAGCTAGATCCTTGGAGCCGACTAAACCGTCCGTCATGTCCGAGGCTGTGAAACTGCTCGGTGCGGTTTGCCTTATTTCCAGCGACAGTCACAAAAAAGTTCTGGACGCGATTACCATGAACGGGGAGTTCAAGGGGAGAGAAAGATTTTTACCGATCGTACAGGGCCTGATGAATAAAAAGAACGAAAACCTAAGGGTATGTGGTAACGTAACATACCCTCTCTCCCTCTCTTCACGATCGCTAGCTGTTAACGCATTGGTTCTACTTGCGACAGGTGGAATGCCTTCAACTCATCAATTCCATAATATCTTCGGCCGAGGAATTGGACTTTAGGTTGCATCTGCGAAACGAAATAATGCGGGTTGGCCTTGCCGATATTTTAGAGACTTTAGAGAAAGACGAGTCCGAGGATCTGGCCAGACATCTCAAGATCTTCAGCGATCACAAAGAGGAGGACTACGAAGAGTTCGTGCAGAGGTTCGACCACGTCCGGTTGGAACTGGACGACGTGAACGATTGTTTCGAAGTGATTAAAAATATGGTGATGGAAACGTCCGCCGAGCCGTACTTTTTATCCATACTTCAACACCTTCTGTTCGTCAGAGACGACGCTTTAGTGAGGTAGGAAAGAGAGAGAGAGAGAGAGAGAGAGAGAGAGAGACCGTATTTCTTTTTTTTTTTTTCTTTCTTTCCTCTGGCAGGCCGGCCTATTATAAACTGATCGAGGAATGCGTGTCGCAAATAGTGTTGCACCGTTCTGGCTGTGATCCGGATTTCAGCGCGACCAAGCGCTTCCAAATCGACGTACAACCACTGATAGACACGTTGGTAGAGAAGTCACGGGCGGAGGAAGAGAGGCGATTGGTCGAGGTGTCGCAAAAATTGGAAGAGGCTATAGCCAGCAAACAGGAAGCGGAAGCGAAGCTTCAGCACGCGGAAAATAAAATAAGGGAATTGGAACAGGGAGGTGCGAGATCGGGCTCGAGTGGAAACTCTGTGAGTTGTTGCGATTCATCTCGTCCTTGACGATATCTCTACTTTTTTTTTCTCCTCCAACTGTACTACGGTGTTGTTCGGTACGCGCAGAAGATTGGAACGAATCCGCCGCCACCACCACCGCCGCCTCTGGCCGGAATGGGCGGACCTCCGCCACCTCCTCCACCGCCGTTCCCGAACGCTTTCGGGCCAGGAGCGGGAAGGGGAGCACCGCCACCGCCGCCGCCACCTCTGCCAGGTTTCGGTGGTCCGCCACCTCCGCCGCCGCTGCCTGGATCCGCGGGACCACCACCACCGCCTATGCCTGGCATGCACGCGGGACCGATTCCACCACCGATGCCGGGAATGGGTCCGATACCTCCGCCGATGATGCCTGGCGTCCTCCCGATAACCGCGCAACCCTTACCTTACGGGCTAAAACCGAAGAAAAAGTGGGAGGTCGACGCGCCGTTGAAAAGAGCGAACTGGAAGGCGGTGAGTGGATTATCGTCTCCGGTGTGCGTTATCGTCTCTATGTTAGAGGGACGCGAAACTTATCTCGTCATCTCGCAGATTATGCCGCACAAGCTTACGGAAAAATCATTCTGGACAAAAGTGCAAGAGGACAGGCTAGCGAGTCCCGAGATACTGGACGGTTTGGCCGAGAAGTTTGCCTCGAAACCAAGTGGGAAGAAGATCGACGATGTCGTTGACAAGTAAGCCTTACCTTACCCTTGCAAGTAAGCGATAACGTTTTTAACGCAATGTTTCGCACACAGGTCAGCTCCGTCGAAGAAGGTGAAAGATCTGAAGGTTCTGGATGGCAAAGCCGCGCAAAACATCTTGATACTTCTGAACGGTACACTGAAGCACGTGTCGTACGAAGAAGTAAAGTCTTGTCTGCTGAAGTGCAAGGGACCCGTTGTCTCGGACAATATACTTCAGGGATTGATACAGTATTTACCGCCACCCGATCAACTGTCGAAGCTGCAACTTTACAAGAATCAGTATGACGATTTGACGGAAGCCGAACAGTTTTGCATCACCGTAAGTCGAGTCGAGTCGAGTCGAGTTTCTCTCTCTCTCTCTCTTTGACGCACTACTTTGCCCAAACTTTCGAAACTTTCGAAAACGTTTGTTCTTCCGTAGATATCGACGATCAAGAGGTTGTTGCCGAGATTGAGGTCGTTGAGCTTCATGCTTCGATACGAAGAATTGGTGCAAGACGTGAAGCCGGACATAGTGGCGGGCACAGCAGCTTGCGAGGAAGTGAAAGGCAGCAAAAAGTTTGCCAGAATTCTCGAACTGATTCTGTTGCTTGGCAATTACATGAATTCTGGATCGAAGAACGGTCAAGCTTTCGGATTCGAGATCAGTTTTCTTACCAAGGTTCGTATGTGGTTTTCTGCATGTTTCCTCACGTCTGATGCCGATGAATACCGCACGAGTACCGTTCCCTCTTCGTCCTTTCATTCCTTTCAGTTGACCAGCACCAAGGATATCGATAACAGACAGACTTTGATGCACTACTTGGTAGACACGATAGAACGTAAGTTTCCAGACTGTCTCAACTTCCCGGAAGAACTGGCGCACGTGGACAGAGCGAGCCGAGTTTCCTTGGAGAACGTTCAGAGAACGTTGCGACAAATGGATTCGAACATTCGAAACCTCGAGCAAGATTTGTCGAACGCGAAAATTCCCCAATCGGACGAGGACTTGTTCCAGAATGTGATGGGTGTATCCTTTTTTCTACGTTCGTTCCTTGCCGGCAGGTATTTGCACGTTTTTCCTTAACGATCGTCCTCGCGTTTACCTCACAGCCGTTCGCTAAGAATGCCCGAGAATCTTACGAAGTCCTGCAGAACATGTTCAAAAACATGGATGGCTTGTACACCGAAATCTCCGAATTCTTCTCGTTCGACAAGCAAAAGTACACGATAGAGGAGTTCTTCGGCGATATAAAAACGTTCAAGGATGATTTCGTAGTAAGTGTAGAAGGGAGGAGTAGGAGGAGGAGGAGGAGAAGGAGGAGGAGGAGGAGGAGGAGGAGGAGGAGGAGGAAGGGGTTCTCGATCGTATACACACCTCTTTTTCGTTGTTGCAGCAAGCTCAGAGGGAAATAATAAAACTGAGGGAAAGCGAAGAGAAGCAGAGAAGAGCGAGGGAGGCGCGCGAAAAAGCAGAGGCGGAGAAAGCGGCACGGGCGGCGCGGAAGCGAGCGCTCGTCGATATGAACGCGCACGAAACGCAGGAAGGCGTCATGGATAGCTTAATGGAGGCTCTGCAAACTGGTTCGGCGTTCAGTCGACCGGATCAACGACGCAAACGCCAAGCACGCGCCGCTGGTGGTAAGTTTTATAGGAGCGCGTACGCTTCGACAAGATCTACGAAGAAGGAGAAGTTGTTGCTCGCTAAACGGAATCGAAATAGAGTTCTCGGAAATTCCGATTCCACACGGTACACGACACCGGAAGAGAATCAAGATCTCTATAAACGTTTGTTGCTCGATCGCGCCATGAGAACACCCAAGCAAGAGAGATTTCTGTCCAGAATCAGCTCGTTCAAGAGAAGTAATAAAGAGAGCGAGTTCGCGTGCAAGAAAATCCGATTCGACGGTTCGGTGCTCGAAGAAACCCCGAAGAGTGACCGGGTGGTTTCCGTAAGAACGCGTCGAAATTTTCAGGATTCCTCCTCCCTCCGATGTGTCGTGTCCGTCGCGTCTATCCCGTCCGTCGCGTCCTACGCTTCCGTGGTGGACGAGCTGAAGAGACGCGCGTCCAACGACATTTTGCGTCCAAATTTCTGCTCGCCGTCCTTCTACAAGACGATCTTGATAGGCAAAGCTCTGAAACTGAGCCCGGTTAGACAGCGGAGACGCGTTGTAGTGAGTAAGAGGGGCAAAAGAAACAGCATAGTACGCCGTACCGTTAGAAGTCGTAGACTGAGACACCCGAGGTGGTCTGGCTGTGGCAACAGTCGAAGAGCACGGAAATCGTTCGACTATTTGGGTAGTCCGCCGAGCGGAAGCGTTTCGCTACCTCCTCTTTCGCTCGACGACGACCGTTCCTCTTTGCGCTCGCCAGATACGCCGCACCGGGACAGAGTATCGTTGAGGTCCTACCACAATATCGCGGCTAGACTCGGCAAAACCATCTTCTCTCCGTTCAGGCTGATTCGAACGAAGAACTTGGACGATATCCCTCGTTCCAAGGACGAAAATGAAAACGTGGTCGTCACTTCGATACGGCGGTGCTCCAAGAGCCGTCTCTCCGCTTCGAGACCCTCCCTTCGATTCGAGTCCTGCAACGATCTCGATAACTTTCGCCAATTGGTATTTACGAGTAACCCGTTAGATTTCCGTGGAACGGCACCAAAGTCCCCCAAAGGCAAAGGAGAATGCGACGACACGTTTCGGATCACTGCTCAAAACGGACAGACTGTTTCAAAGAGACAACACCGTAAAAGGAAATTGAAATTTTGGTAGACGGTTTAAAAAACGTCTTGCGTCCTTGTCACACGGCTACGCTGCTCTTCTCTTTCGATCAATGTATATTTCATCGTATTTTGACAAGACTGAATATCGCTTTTATTTTTTCCAACCTTTTATTACAAATCTCGCGCGACTGTGATTCAAGGATACCTTTTTTAATTTTTTCCAAAAGTACTGTGATATCGTCTACATAGGGTACGTCATATACAAAATTTACTAGTCCCTTTTTACACGCTCGTTCTCATTTTTCTTTTTTCTTTTCTTTTCATTTATAAAACGACACTATAGGCTGTGTTTTATATACAATATACATATATCGAGTGTTCTCAATGTGCGCGCATACACACCTGTATCGATCGCTTGTAATCGCACTCGTTGTAAATATCGTTATTTTCGAATGAATAAAGAGACTTTTTTGCTTGACTATCGATGAATGGTTAAAAATAGAAGGTATAGAAGAGAGGGATACAAACGACGTAAATGTTTCTCTTTTACAGCAGAAAGAAGAGCTCAGCTTAATCGAAGTCGATCGCGTACAGGATTAGTCGGGACTGGTTTACTGGGAAGAGAACTTTCGACGTGAGTATTTGGACGTAAGCGTACCGTGTCCGAGTCCGAAAAGGAGATGGATAGTGGTGGGTGGGGATAAAAGAGGAGAGGAACTATTCTCGAAATAATGTCTTGCCTAATGATCATTGTTGCAGAGAACTTTTAAGCTCGGCATAATCCATGGAATAGCCTGTTTCCGTCCTAAACTTGAAACTGTGATGGATCGAATCTTTATTTTATCGATAATCGATAGAACCGGTGAAAGAGAGAAAGAGAGAAAGATCGAAAATGCCGAGAAGCATCGCGAACCTTCGTCGATGGTTTTGTCGGGGAAGGAAATGTCTGGAGTTAACTACTTTGGTAGAATACATAGACATATGTATATGTATACATACGACGTTGAACGCGTTAACGACGTGGAAAGAGGAAAAGTGTTGAAAAATAGTTTACTACTTTCTTGTACATTTTCTACAAAATCTCGATCGATTTTCTATTTTCAAACTGATTTTGTCGATATTTCGACGACACACGTCTAGATTTTTTAATTAGAAACGTAGAGCTGGTGGTAGAGCGAAAAGGAGATACATAGGTGTATGGCTTCGTTCCATAGACCAGGTTCGCAGACTGATGTTTGAATGCACGGTGATGACGCGCGTTTCATCGCGTGAATACGATCGAGTTTCTGTCTTGCTGATCGCTTTTGCCTTGTTCGCGAAACCTTTTAAAACCGTGCCAAATCAACGAACCGCCGAGCAGAAAGAAGCAGCGTTGGTTCGCGCGGAAAACTGTCCGCGGAATAGAGCCGGAGAGAGAAGTTGCAACAAAGAAATTCCAGACCGTGGGGGTCACGTAAACGCTACCAGAGACCAATTTATTTTTCGAATCTCGAACTCGACAATTGTTTATACTGTATCTACTAACGTCGGATCCTAAGACAATTTGTATCTATATTGTGAATATGTGAATTTAGATAGCACCAATACATTACGATTAATAGAATCGAGCGTGGCGTGTTTTATTTCACGATACACACGACATTCCCCCGCTAGGTAACTAACAACGTGTATGTATATATGTAGATGGAAAAATCGCGTTCGCGTTCGCGTTCGAACGGCAATCAGGATTGCAAAGTGTGTCACGCGCGGCAGCGCCAGCGCCAGCGCCAACCCATTGGCGTAGCTGGTTGCGTTCCTTTTCCACGATAATCGCTAACGTGCCACTACGATGACAAATAGTAGGGTAAATCGGAATAGAACGATTTCGGTGGGGCCCCGAGTGCTAGCCGACGGTTGTACGGGTTGGCGGGTGTGGTTACCCGTAGTATCGCCTTTGGATCGTTCCCCCCACGAGAGACGGCGAGAGGAGAAGCCTCGCAACTGCTGCTACACCGAACGCACGTACGCAGCATGCACGCAGCGCGCGCGCACATTCGCACACCTGCGAGAGAACGGTCGAGTCGTCGTTGAATCCATCTGCAGGCGAGGTCGCCGCGTATTCGTGCAACCACGGCAGGCACAGTGTACTCTACACCTTTCTCGTGGCACGCGTGCATCGGCTGGCGAAGTGTGTGCGCGCGTGTGTGTATGCGTGTGCGGCGAGGTAGAGGCGCGCGCGAACGACGTGCTTGGAACGTTTCAGCGTGTCCACGGTGCTACGATCAAGTGCTGTTCTAGTCCACACCCGTTCCTCCTCGACTGGTCGACGTCGAGGCGGTGCTGTTTTCGTCGAGAGAGACGTGTACCAGAGGTCTGACAAAAGACGAGCACGCGAATAACCGCGATCACGAGTGCCTGCCCACCCGCCCAACCGACCGACGACATTTCGCACACCAGAATATCTCGAACCGATGGCTCGTGTCGCGATCTCTACCGGTAGTCTCGTTATCGAGAAAGGAAACGTACACGCGGGTTCCGTTCAACACCGAATGGTAAACTGTGCAACGTCGAATCTTGCCTGGACGAACGCACCACGTTGGACCTCCAGGTCTCGCCTCTCCTCCAGATCGATCCGCATCTCTGCTCGATCCCGCCAGCCAGACGTTCGTTCGTAGACGTTCGCCAGATTACCGTATATACATACGTACAATATACACGGAACGCTTTTCTCGATCGTCGACAGTTTGCTGCTGTTCGTGGTAATCGTGTTGTTGTCACGTTTCGAAGGTGAAACGTGTCGCGCGGTCGATAGAATGCAAAGAGGAGACAATGAACGTTCCGATCGTGTCGGGAGATATCGTCGAAGACGATGTTCATAAGCCACGTTTCGTTAGGGTAAGTATCGCGTTTAATCGTTTAAGCGTACTTTCCATTTCACGGCTGTACAGCCGTACTTGTCCCCTTGTCGCGTCAACGAATCAGAGGTGGGGCACGTTTCGATCGAACGCTCTTTCGTAAATCTGTTCGTGCTTTATTCCGGGAGAACGGTAACGCAAATGAAAAGCAAAAAACCTGCAACCTGGTGGAGGATTTAGTCAACCGTAAAAAATTCGAAAGAGCATGGTGTGACAGGACGAATTTAAATGCCTCGTGTATATACACATAATACATATGACAGGATAGCGAACGATCAGGACGTGCTCGTACGATTTCTTTGTCGATCGCACGCGCCATCTTCCTACCCTCGGCGGAACGAAGTGCACCTCTGGTCTCGCGAGGTGTGTCGGTACACGTATGCGATTTCCGAGAATTTCGATAGCAAAAGTCATTTACGATAAGTAGTTTACTCGCTCCGCGTATCGAAGCACCTTTGCTAAAGCGTAAACGATCACCGGAATACGATAGACGATTCGGAAGGTGAAACGCGGAAGATTGAATTTCGACTTTCTCCGTTTAGAGAGCATAGAATGTTGATCCAGAGCGCGGGTCGCATTCCGGAAAAATACAATCGAGAAAACGCGTCGGCGATCGGCCGATTTCAACGATTCCACGAAAGATCGATCTTCCGGAAAGAACTCTCGACGTTAAGCCCGTTGGGCCGATTCGATACGTTTAACGGCTTATATAAATACCTTTAACGTACGCAAATCCTTGGGTTTCGTTTGCGTAAATTACACGTGTGATTCGTCACGCGTGAAAGAAACGCGTAGTTGGACGCGGCGGCGACGGGTTACGCGAAATCGAAACACAGAAATCGATGGAGCATTGCACAGTCGATTGCGTAAAAGTTAATCATTCGCTACAGTTGCCTCGACGCTTTCTCCTCGATGAATGGTCGCGTAAAAAATGTATTCGAAACATACCGTTCCTCGTATCGACGAGTCTAAAAAAGAAAAACGGAGCGAAAGAATTTCGCGAGTAAAAATTTGTGGGAGGAACGATCGGATATCGGGCCGAAACGTGATGCTCGAAAAGCATCGTTCGATAATCGGAAGTTTCAATAACAAGACGACATTGGAGGGAACCGCGGTTTTGAAGCGCGAAACGATCCGTCGCCGACCGAAGGGACGCGAATTCGAACGAACCGCGACGAATCGAGGCGAAATTTGCCGAGTGAGAAAAACGACGGGACCCTATCGGCCGGCAAACGAAACACCGTGGAAGGTGAGGAACCGGTGGTGGGCCGTGTTGCGCGCTACCTTGTGCGCGTCGATCGACGCGAGTCAACGGTGATCTGTAAATCTTCTCGGTCGATCTTTTCTTCTCTCTCTCTCTCTCTCTCTCTCTCTCTCTCTCTCTCTCTCGATTGTCAACATCCCCTCCTATCGGTCTCCCTCCTTTTCGCGTGCGCAACACCGTTCGTCGGCCCTGGGAATTCCGCTTTCCCGTAGAAAAGAAACGCACCGCGGAAACATCGAACGTGTATAGAGTTTTATCTGCTCGGAAAGTTGGAAGCGTTTCGAGGGATTGCAGCGTCGTTCGCGTCGCGAGTGGAATGTGAGGACACGGCACGTCGGTTGCGGTGCACCTGTCGCAGATTTCCACGGTGCTTGGACCGCGCAATTCCGACCAAGCGCAGATATGGAGCCGAGAAAGGTGGATTTATCGTTGCTCGACGTGTGTGCGATCGAGAGAGGTCGATCACTTTGAGCGAGTTGCACGATTCTCCTCCGTTTTCTATCGAATAGACGGACGGACGGACGGACGGACGGACGGACGGACGGACGCTTAAGCCACAGGGACGGGAAATCGAGGAGCACGAAGGTTTCGAATTCATCGGCGAAGGATCACGCGGACGCAGATCGTTCGGAGAGTAAAGTTTTGCCAAACATTCGGCTAGATTCGATAGTATCCAGAACCATGCTGATCCTTCCGGATTTACGGTTGCAGGTAAATCGAACGACGGAAAAGCTGTGCAAGCGTTTACATCCGTTACAGTTTATTATCGCGTTTCGCCTTCCTCCGATTCGCCCTTTACCGGGAATGGAATGGAATGGAATGGAGTGGGGTGGGAAAGGAAGGTTGGCAGGAAGTGCGGAAAAGTTGACGCTTGACGGGTAACCAAAACAGTTGAAACGCGAGGGGAGCGGTGGGGCCGGCCGGGGGGTGTGTAGCGAACGAAGTCGGCATTTCCTGTTTCAACGCGAGCGCAAGCAGCGTGCCTCGGATCCGATAGAGCGTGCCTGGTCCGCTGAACTCGAGACGCGATAGAACGCGTAACAAGCGAGGAAAAGCGCGGGACGAGCGGCGATAAGTCGCGACGTTGAATTAGAGAAAATGTAATTGGAGGACGAATCGAATCCCGTTAGTGTCCCGCATCTTCGCGTCGCGTCAAGCCGGCGGCGGTAAGGTCTTCGACCGCGTTCCTCGATTCCGGCTTCCGTCCCGATTTCTCGCGGTAGCGATGGACGCGGAACAGATTGGCGGTCAGCGGCGCACGGCGAGCGGTGAGAACGGGGAGAGCAGCAGATTCGGAAGAGAGTTCGACTCGATCGACCGGTCTAGGTTTGACGGAACCGCGGGGCATCGGTAATCGAGCACGAAGCGCGCCGCACCCGCGAGGAAGATAAACCGAGCGTTATCCTTCTCCCCCACCTTTATTCGTACAGTTTCTCTCCTTTCACCGGGAGTATGTACCGCGTCGCTCTTTCTCCTCCTCCTGGTTGGGCGATAGATCGATCGAGATTTAACTGGAGACACGCGTTCTGCTGTATCAGGGATGATAGATGGATAGGAATAGAGAGGGAGAGAGGGAGAGACGTAGAATGTTACAGTTGGGCGGCTCGTGCAACGAACCATCGTTCATGCCCGCCGAGCCACGAAATATAAGCAGTAAACGCGGCGTGAATTCCGGCGCTGATACGCGCATCGCGGCGCTGGCTAATGGTCAAAGGACGAGATTCGCGAGCTTTCCTATTCGCGGCTCGGGAGGGAAATAGTGCTCGGTGCGAACGATGCGGCTGCGAGAACGAATACTATGTTGAAGTGGACTTGTTACGCGGCTCTGTTGAAGAATCGCGGATCTCGGCCGACTTGGTTGGACGAGAGGGAGAAGAGGACGGACTGCGAGAATGCGCCGTCTCGTTATTCGCGAATACTCGGGGGAAAAGCTTCCCCCTGTCGGTCCGAGGATATAGAAATTTTTCGGGAATCGACATCGAGAAAGTGGCCAGGGGTGAGAACCACCTTCTTTCCTTCCCCTCGACAGTTAGGACGCCGCGTCCCTTTATTTACCATCCGTGTACGACCGTTCGCGGAGAATTCGCTAAACGTGTATGTAGTAAGTAACCAACCGACGGTAATTCGACTGGCTGTGCAGGGCTCCGATCCTAGGGTGGCCACTTGCCGGGGAAAGCTGCAGAACAAACGAAGCAAACTGAACCAAGAGATCAACAAGGAGCTTCGGTTACGAGCCGGCGCGGAGAACCTCTTCAAGTAAGCTACCATAAGCGTTCCTCCTCCGGTACTTTACACGCTCCTCACCTTCTCCGACTGAGCAACCTTCCGTTCCTTTCAGAGCGACCACCAACAGAAAGCTGAGAGAAACGGTCGCGTTGGAGTTGAGTTTCGTCAATTCGAACTTGCAGCTGCTGAAAGAACAGCTCGCCGAGCTGAACAGCTCGGTTGAGCTCTACCAGAACGTCGACAGGTCGGTACGAGAGAGAAAAAGCGACAAACCTTTCATCGGCGATAAACCTAAATGTGCGTTTATTTTTAGCGAAGAACCGGCGATGCCGATGATCCCGTTAGGACTGAAGGAAACCAAAGATATCGACTTTCGAGATCCGTTCAAGGTGAGAATGTTACCGGGACCGGTCGAAATTCATTCGAGTGGCGGCACCTCCGAATCCCCGTCGTCCTCGCGAATCTGTTCGCGTTTCTTCGAAACGTCGTACCGCTGTTCGCCCGATCGGGCGAGGATCCGCGAGAAATCGAGATGGTTGCTGCCGGGTCCGATCTCCAAGTACTCCCGTACGCCCGTTAGCGGTCGCCGTTCTACCCTCCGAACAGTAGTCGTCTCGTTGTTACGAAACGGGATATTAGATAGCGGATTGAAGCGCGGCATAGTGACCAGCAGCGTGCCATTCGTCGTGTTCCTCTGGGCCGTGCTGGTGCTTACCGACACCTCGCAGGGAAGCGTCAGCTGTAACGCCTTTCCCTTGATCGTAACGCGCACGTACTCGGGCTGCACGTCCACGTTCACGTAGCAAGTGTCCAAATGTCTGAAATCGGTAATGTCGGAAAATAGAAATTTAACACGTTCAATTACCTCGTCGAATCGCTGTACAACGTACTTGTAGAGAGCAACTTCCAAGACAACGCGATCGGTGTACTCCTGGTCGTTCAACTTGAACGACACCTTTGGCTGATTCACGTTGTACGGCTTGCCCTCTGGACTGAACAACTTTGGTACGTAGCTGTTTCGCTTTCCTCCGTCTCTTTCCCGATTTCTTTGTTCCTCCTTCCGCAGTAACCGCTCCGCGATAGCGACGCGTTCCTCAGGTGTGTGACGACTGGTTCGCTTCCAAAACGTTTCGTCATTCTCCTCCTCCTCCGATCGTTCTTCTCCTTTCCAGCTGGTTCTCTCCTCTCGATAATCAAGGATTTCCGCTTCCCTCGCGCTTCTCTGCCTCGCGTAACTCCTGATCGTCTCCCCCTCGACTTCCGCGTAAATTTGCAGCGCCTTTATGCGTTCCGATCTCACGATCGCCGCCCCGTCTAGTTCTTTCAATTGCGAGAGCGTCGCGACCACGTACTCTCTGTATCCTTCGTAGTCGGCACACGGATTTCCCATCAGGAACAGCTGCTCCAAGTGTTGGTTGCATCTGCGCCGCGACGACAACGGATGGATTGATAGAACCATTTCGCGTCGATTTACGAAACAAAGACACGGGGACAACTTACCTTAACCTCTTCACTCCTCGAAGATCGCCGATAAAGTTCACCGTTAGATCCAACTTCTTCAAGCTCTCCAGCCCTTCCAAATTTTCTATCACTTGTACGTTGTTCAGTGCTAAATTCAGGTACTCGAGCTTCTTCAGCTTGCCCAGATTTTCGATCCTCGATATCAGATTGTGCTGCAACAAAAGAATCTTCAAGTGCTTGCACGTTTTCTCGATCAGCTCTATCTTCTCGATACTCTCTTGGTGCAACGCGATCTCCTCGAGCGTGGAGATTTCCCCGTCGTTGTGCTCCGAACGCTTTCGCAACAGATCTAGAGTAATCCTCGACATGTTACGCGAACGCGTACGTGAACTTTAACGCGCGTCGCTAAGCAACGCGTATCGAACGCCGCTCGACGATAATCTGTGGGTGTTGCACGCAGGACTTTATCCTCGAGCACTATAGCGAGGATGGGGGAAATTACGAGGAGGCGGTCGCGGATCTTATGGAAACGAGACAGGTGAGTGCGGAACGCCGGTAGGCTCCTACCTAGGAGCGACCGTTGGCTCTGTCGGATTCGATCGTTGGTTCTGTTTACGGTTGGTAGGCGACGCGAACACCGACCAGAGATGCGGCCGGCATCGCGTTGCTCTTGCGCTATTACAACCAGCTCTATTTCGTCGAGCGACGTTTCTTCCCTCCGGATCGAAGCCTCGGCATTTACTTCGAGTGGTTCGACTCGTTGACCGGAGTGCCGAGTTGCCAACGGACCGTCGCCTTCGAGAAGGCCTCGATTCTCTTCAACGCAGCCGCTCTCTATACACAGCTGGCCGCGAAACAAGATCGTTTGTCCGCGCGAGGCTTGGACCAGGCGATCGACGCGTTCCTCCGAGCCGCTGGTACCTTTCGTTACATACACGAAAACTTCACCAACGCGCCGAGTATGGACCTCGGGCCGGACATGCTCGAGATGCTCGTTCAACTGATGCTGGTAACGACCACGCGTTCGTAGCCCCGTAGACTACGATACGTATTACGCATCTCGTTCTTCTCGTTTTTCTCGTTTTTCTCGTTTTTCTCGATTCTCTCGTTTCAGGCCCAAGCGAGAGAATGCTTGTTCGAGAAGTTGGAACTTCAGTCGAGGGACGGGAGGAACATCGACGTATCGTTGGATCTCGCGCAGGAAGCGTCACAGGTAGAGGCGGCCAGATTCTAATTCCAGATCCTAATTTACGGCCAGCTGTGTCGCAAACTTTTCTACCGAAACCACTTCTGTCTAGGTTGCGGCTGTCTACAACGACGTCCACGGGCTGATCTCTCGCGAACCGGTCCGCGACTACGTACCGGAGACGTGGATCTCGTTGATCTTGGTAAAGCGGGAACATCACCTAGCTCTTGCCCACAAGCACCTCGCGCTCGGGCTCTTCGATCGACCGATCGGCGAGTGGCGCGCTGAGACCAAGCTCGCACTCGAGCACGTGCAGAAGAGCGACGGAAAGACGCAGCTGGACATCATCGTGCCACGGGACGAGAACGAGAGGAAGTTGCTAGGTGCGTACTCTCTGTCCTATCCTTAGCTCCCCGTTCGACCAACGATTCTTCCTTTCTTGCAGGAAAAGCGCATCTCAGGGAAGCCTTGGTCTTGCACGAGGAAAGTCAAAGGCTGCAGAGAATGTGCAGGGACTTGAAAGCGAAACAGGCGCTCGCGAAAGTTTTGAAGAGAGTGCAGGAGTCGACCGTGGAGAGTTACAACGGGATCGGCGACGAGGATGATTTCCGGGGATTGTTGGACCCTCCGGATATCATTGGTAAGAGATAGAGGGAACAGGAAGAAAAGAGACGACGACGATGACAATAACAATGCTTCTCGTTGTTTGGTAACGCAGCATCGACAAAGTTTCAACTGAACATCACTCACCCGGATTTCGGGCAACACGGGGTAGAGGACCTTTTCCGATCGCTCGGTCCGGTAGCTATATTTTCGGCGAAAAGGCATTGGACAGCGCCGCGATTGATCCAGTTGCAACGTGGACCGGACGGTGAAGGATTTGGGTTTAGCGTTCGAGGAGACGCGCCCGTGATAATAGCTGCAGTTGATCATAATTCGTTGGCCGACGTAAGTACGGCAAAGTTCTTCCTACCCCGAGTAACGTCGGTTACGGTTCCTTTTCACCCTTTCAGTTAGGTGGCATGAAGGAGGGAGACTTTATAGTAGGGATCGGCGATAAAGACGTAAAGTGGGCGTCTCACGAACAAGTGGTTCGGCTGATCAAGCAATCCGGCGACTTTATAAGTTTAAAGTTAGTCACGCCAATGGATAGAAATTACTTGAAGGTAAACGTGAACGTGAAATCTGATTGATTCGGAGAAACGGCCTAATCAATCGCATACTACCGATTCTAGAGACCAGGTAAAACCAACCAGCAGGACAAGGGAAGCGTTTCGGCGAGCAGCTCTTCCGGAATTTCGTCCGGGCAACCGAGTCCCGCCGGTTCCGTAACAACCGCTCACGTAGCCAAGAAGCTACCGTGGAATCCGTTCAAAAAATCGACTGCGCAGCGCGACAGTAGGGACCTGACATTCGACAACGTTATTCTCAGATGACTCGTTCGATTCTGGAGGCGGTTGTTGGAATCTTGGACGAGAAGGACGAGGCGGACGAGCTTTGCCAATTCCGCCAATTTCAGGTTCGCGTCGTTCCGTTGCAACACCCCCAACGATTTTGTATAATATCATATCTATCGAATACATATACATACTGTACGTAAACACACACAACGCATTTATTCGATCGACGGATTTCGAGCTACCGAGGCAAAGCCCATCCGACAGAACTCGACATCCCTCGACGAACGGATAAGATACGATACTGTACTGTACAAATGATCGATGAAAAGCGCATCGAACGAAGAAAACCGCCTACGAAATTCGCCTACGAATGTACGCATACGCTACACGCGAATTATATTTTCTTTCCAAGAAAAAGCGTCGCTTGCCTTGTCACCTTTTATCCTTTCCCGAACCTTCATTTTTCACCACCACAGCTACAGTTTTCAACAGCAATTCGAAGATAGAGGAGAGGCGCATGGGGAAGGGGCGAATTTCTCATCCTTTAACGCGCCCGTTTAATTTTCTCTCGTGTGTGCACGTTGCTCGGATGATTTGAGAAAGCGTAGATAAACCGTAGGAAAGAGTAGAAAGGCGCGACTCCGAATGCAGCCGAAGCGCGACTTTCACCGAGCCGAGAAACGCCCTGTGGTACGCGATCGACGACGATTACGCAAGCGAACGGGAAGAAACGGCCGATCGGTAGACTGTCCAAGAGTACGAAACGACCGTTTAAAAAGATACGCAGTGGCGGCGTCGCGTGGAAACGATCGGAGAATGTAGGGGAAATCGGGGCGAGAGGGACGCGATTTGTTCGCTTCAACGAAATTTCATAAGTTGGTCCGTCCGTCGATGTAACGTGGTGAGCGAGGAAGCGGGCCGTAGCCTTTAATGTTCAACGGACCAACCGAAAGTGGACTCGCAGTGAAAGTAAAACGTAGAATTACGAAATGAAAGTGAATCCTTGCGCGCATTTTTCCTTCGTGAAGAGCTTAAAAAGCATGGATGTTGCGAGAAACGGGAGCACCGCGATAATCGCGAACAAGTAGGGGATTGTTGTAAACGGTGGAGAAAGAGTTGCAACAATTTGAAAAGGAAGGAAAAGAGAAAGGAAAAGGTTGGAAGGAGCGTGTAAGGAGCGGTAAGAGCGGAGCGATCCGGCCTTAAATTGATGGTGCTCGCGAGCAAGCGGGTTACTTCGATCCAAGTCGGTCGAGGAGGTGAACGTGGATCGACTCGACGCGACTTCCGGGCCCCCCGCGTTTAACGCCTGGTTAGTGCGCGCGGTCTCGTTTAACGTTCGAACAAAGTATTTCAGCGTTTCCGGCGATGCTCTTTGAACCGTGCCTCTAATTGCGAAACAATGCGCGTTCGAAGGCGAACGGCGCACGTTCGCGGCCATCTGTTCGATTAACGAGAACGAGAACGAGGACGACCTGTGATGGTGGAAAGGTCCGTGGAAGATTACTGCTCGGACGGTAGAAAGCGCGAGGACAGTTATTCTCTCGCAAGTGGATCGATGCCGGACTTTCTCCTGGACGACGGCGTGTCGCCGAATGGCGTAAGAACTCGTTGGGTCTCATAATCGTCGGTGGTAGCTCGTTTGAAATTCGAACGAGCGAAACGAACGAAACGAGGACGCGAGAAGGAACAGTGGGGGAGAAGGGCGGCGGGCGGCGGGTGGCATCGTTGGTACCGAGGAGGAAGGAGGAAAAAGAAAAGGAAGAGGAGAAAGAGAAAGAGGGGGGAGATCGAAAGCGCGAACCGAGCTGCGAGGAAAGCGGTACTCGTGCTAGCTGATTCTTTCTGTACGTCGTACACGACTACATCGGTAGATCGGACGATGGCCAACTCCAAGGAAGAGGATTACGGACGCGAGTTAGACGAAAGCACGAGTACGATCGCCCGCGAGGAACTTCGCGAGGACGGTGCCACCAGGACGGAAGCCTTAAACCAATTCAGACACTGGATTCAGAAGCATCCGAATATCAAGCGGTGCAGAACAGACGCAGCCTTTCTCCTCAGATTTCTCAGAACGAAGAAGTTCAGCGTGCCGATGGCGGAAGAGATGCTCGAACGGTATTTGACTATTAGACAACTCTACCCGAACTGGTTTCAAAATCTCGACATCGAGGATCCGGACATCGAAGCTATCGTAGATGCTGGCTATCTGGTACCGTTGATGGAGCGCGATCGTCACGGCCGACGCGTGATACTTTCTTGCGCAGGTAGGTAGATGGATTCTTTCTCTTCCCGCTTACTCCTTTCCTCGCCTATTTTCACCGTTACTGTCCCATCTTCTCTTCGAGGTCGCTTCGATCCGTACAAATACACGTCCGCTCAAATGGCGCGAGCTCACAGTCTCGTGGTGGAAGCTCTGATGGACGACGAAGAGAATCAGGTCCGTGGATACACGCACATCAACGACGAATCTGGACTAACGATGGGTCATCTCAGCGCCTGGTCTCTCACGGATATTCGTAACATGTTAAGATGCATACAAAATAGTACACCCATGAGACACAAGGAAACGCACTTTGTTAATATTCCAAGTTGCGCGGTCAAGGTGATCGAGTTTGGCATCTCTCTTCTCAACGACAAGTTGAAGAGTCGAATCTCGGTACGTTTACCCTTAACACGTCCTTGATAATCGCGTCGACCCGCCGAATCACAATCAGTTTTTATCCCCGATCAAGGTGCACAAGAGTCTGGAAGAGTTGAAAAGTGCGATCGATCCGAGAATTTTGCCGAAAGAATACGGAGGAGATATCCCACTGTGTGATATGATCGGTACGTATTTACGTGCGCGACGACGATGGAAAAGCATCCGAGTTTCACTTTCTCTTCTGTTTCAGCCGCTTTCAAGAAAACTTTGAGGGAACAAAGGAATCGAATAAAAGAGCTGGACGATATGTACGTAGAAATCTCGTCGATGGATTGTCAATATGCTGCGGACGACAATTTAACCGGTATATCTGGCTCGTTTCGTAAACTGGAGGTCGATTGACGTCCTTTTTCTCAACATATTCCTGCTCCTAGATAAATATTTATTTTTACCTCGTGTATCAGCATTCTCCTGCCGGTGGTATTAGTTACCTACGATTCTTTCAATTTACCTACGCAACATAGGATACGATGCGACTGCTCCGCAGCAAGCGCATCCTTAGTCAGATAATTCCATTTTTAAAGTACGATTACTATATACGTGGTTAAAGGTAGCATGCGTGGAACTTACTGTTCAGCTTCTTCGCGACCGTACATAAATACGTACGTGCAACGTAACGTGAAAGAGGAGCAGTTTGCGTGTAATACTCTCGAATGAAATTTCTTTTCAGAATCATATACTTACTACAACATTACTCGACAATTTACTTTACGCTAGATCGATCCGTACTATCACTTTCAACGACAACATAGACGAGGACGGGAAGGAAATAACGTAATATGATTATATACACGTTGAAACGTACGCTCGCTATACTGACATTTCTTTCTTTCTTTCTTTCTCCCTCCCTCCCTCTCTCTCTCTCTCTCTCTCTGTGTACTTTACTCTTTCTAGTTTCTCTCTCTTTCTGAGTGTGTTTGCGTATCTGTTTTCTTTTATTCAGCTTCGTTAACATTTACAATCTCGCAATCGCGTAGAATCTCCTTTAAAAATTCTGTACTCGCAGGCGCCGTGGTGTAGAGACTTCCTGTAATATATAGAACCGTAATGTAACCGTGTGGTGGATCAAACTGCACGAAACCAACGAATCTTCGACGAACCATCGAACAAATTTAAAAATAAAACATACGCTTACGTTTACTTACCTAGAAAGTTCTTCACGTTATTGTCGTGTGAAATAACCTTACAATTGTTTCTATGTAATATTTTAAATCCTAAACAACGGAACCGCTCGTCCGTCTTATAAAGAGCGTTGTTCTTTTGCAAATTCAGATGTGGTTGTCCACTGAATGGATTGATAAAATCTGCCCAGTATCCCATGTTCCTCAATTTAGTACAAATATCCGACGCTGCTAGTACGAACTGTAGCGAAAAATATATTCGGCCATTTATCGAAAGTATCTCGAAGAAACACGTAATTCCTAAACATCTGGCACAGTTTCAATACACTTACATATTTAGCCAGCTTTTCAATTTCCATTTCTCTGTTCCACTTGATCACTTTAGCGTTAAACGTCTGAGTGATAGTAACGATGGTAAGCTGTGGAGAACCGACGTCCAAACATCCTGGAAAAAGCTCTTCTATACCTTTCCTCAACAACACGATTCACTCGACGAGCAGTTTTTTCTTTCGGAATGTCTGTCGAAACTTCGTTGACAGTGCAGAAATCAACTAGATGCGTCCTAACCTGCGCGGTCGTAGTCACATCTGACCAACCAGGGCCGATTTTTCCCGGCAAATAAAATCTAAAACCTCTCGGTGTTAAAAGTTCCCAATTGGAATTTATTCCAAGCACAGCACCGTCCACGTCTAAAAAGCAATCGGCAAAGGTGAGAAAAAGGTTATAAGCAGCAACGCGAGCGAACATTTCTCATTTACCGTCCAAATTTTGACCATTTGCCCGGACGAGTTTGTAAGAATTGGTGTTTTTATCGCTACGCCGAGAGTAGCGACTCTTGGGGAGGAAATTGAACAGTGTCGTGGTATTAGCTTTCCTAACATGTTTTAAGCAAAACATCTGAAACGAATGACATTACGTAGGTTATGTTTCACGGTTGTTCAAAGTTGCGGTCCGCGTTCGTCGATACAACGAAGTTAGCGTTACGCAGAGAATGTATCGTTACCGTTAGATCGTAATTCACATGCTGGTTTGAAAAGTTGTTTTACACAAGATATCGTTTCGTCCTTGGATTATCTAACCGTGATATTCTTTCGGATCACTCCACTCGTCTACATGCAACTATGATGAAATGCAAGGACGTTGAATCGCACGTTAGTCGCGCATCGGCCAGGCGAAAGAGAATGGAAAAGAAAGTATAGACGGTACCCGAGTAGATGGCGCAGTTTGTACGTCGGTGCCAGTCTCGACAACGCAGTTGCCCGAAGTAGGTTCTTTATCCGCTGTCGCTACACACCTCTTACCGATTGCGCGCATCTCTACGTTATCGAACACGTCGGCACAGCCGAGTATTCGAAGGACATCGCTCGAATTCGCTTCCCCCCTATGCAATGGTGTAGCGAACCGATTCTGGAAGCCGTCACGACGGTGGTGGTGGTGTTGTTGTTATTGTTGATATCGTCGAAGGGTGCGGCAGAAAGTTGAAATAAACGCAAGGTGTAGAGGACGAACGCGAAAGATTTAGACTGGTCCGAAAGGCTCGCCGCGTCGTTTGGCGACGTTCTAACCTAACAAAACGAGTGGAGATGGCTGAGTCGGAGCAAGAAATCGGAGATCGCGGGGACAACGACAATTTGAAGACGGATAAGCTATTCATCTTAAAGAAATGGAACGCCGTGGCTATGTGGAGTTGGGACGTGGAGTGCGACACTTGTGCGATTTGTCGAGTTCAAGTGATGGGTGAGTACGTGTACGAGCATAATTGATAGTTAGGTTAGGGCGTTGTTTCTCGATCGTTTGTTACGCGCGTTCACCGGAAAAAATAGAAACGCGCGAGTACAAGCTCGGTCCGCATGGGATCCCGTATCTATGAAATGTAATACGGCGAGCGTGGTGTGCGTATGCTATATATGTACATGCTGAGCGAGAGAATCGACAGAGGTGGGGATAGGGGAACTGTCTGTCGATTGGAAGTGGTTGGGACGAGAAGGGTGGGAAAAGAAACGAGGATTTGTGTCAAACGTTATATTTTAATAATTTATAAAATTAGACGTGTAAACTTAACGCGAGTAGTGTACAGCTTTAAAGACATCTTAATCGAATTTTTTTCGAAATTTGGCAAGCACCTTGCGGCCAACTGGCATACGGTAAAATTGTTTGTCAGGTAAATACAAACAACGATGGAAAAGTAAAAATATGAAGTCGGATTTTGCGTACGAAACGTAAAATTTTCTCGATGAATTCGATTCGAGATTGTATAGGTGAAACCGTACAAGAGGAATGTTTCGTGACGCTGTCTTGTCTCGTCTCGGTCTAGGTCTAGGTCTCGTCTCGTCTCGTCTCGTCTCGTCTCGTCTCGTCTCGTCTCGTCTCGTCCTAGTGCTGAGATTCGGAATGAGATTGCGAGGACAGAGGCAGTTTTTACCGAGAACGGTGTGCATCCGCGCGAAAAGAAGGCTAAGAAGGAAAATGAAAGATAGTGGCAGCAGAGTAGGAACGAAGGGACAGTGTGGAAGGACGGAAGGACGGAAGGTGAGGGGCGCTTATCGTAGAGATTCGATTGGGATCCCCGGGGGCTATCGGAAATTACAAGCGGCGCACCTCTTTCGCGTTATGAATAATAATAAGAGAAACAGTTCTCTGGAAAGCCGGCGAGAAAAATGAGAAGAGTCGCGTTGTTTTTCGGTGATTAATCGGGCGCGATTGTACGTTACACAGATATGCACGTCGTTTCTTATCGTTCGTTCCTTTGACGCGCGGTGCCTTTCCTTTAGCCTGGTACAGTTGTACAAAGTTTAACGATGAAAAAATAAACGCGCGTTACTTCTATCTCTGTTTCTTAACTATATGTATATCTTAGAATTTAATTCGTTGGTAAATGATGCAGTTATCCGTTGACGCAGATCGGTAACTAACTACATATGTATGTACAATACAAACTCGACGGCCGACATCGATAGAGAGATGACGGAGGAGAATTGTTGGCTGATGATCGCGCTCTCGTTTATTGTCGCTGGTAGTAAAGAACGAGAAAAATTCGTTGCTGTTTTCGGCATCGTTTGTACGCGTTACTTACATCGTTTGTAATACGATACGCGTGTCATACGCATCTCCGTAAGTACAACGTATCGGCGTACTTGCACATTCATACACAAAATGTGTAATTGAAATATTTCGCGGTCGCCGTTAACCTACTCGTATACCTTTAGTAAAAGTACTAACTTGAGGTAGACCCTGTAAAAACTATCTAATAACAAAAGTAAGGGTTACGACGCGCACGACGTGTCCAGTCAACAGCGGATCGTTCTTTTCGTTGAGCTTGCATTCGCAATAGTATATTAATATCTGTCGCCCTCCGACGAGGGGGAAGGTTGATCGCGTTCGAGATCGAGATGGAGAGAATCGATCCGGAAGACGGTCCATCGTCCGTTTCGCTCTCGTTGTTGCCGACAGGAGGAGGAACTATGTAGACGTATACGATATAAAGTATCGCAACGTATACATTACAACTGATTGGCTAGCTATGGATAGGGGGAGAAGCGGTTAACAGGCCATTGGCATAGGCTTCATGTTAGCAACCGCGCTCATTCTTCTCACCGGACCGGAAAATCTCTTCTCGATCTCTTCGAGAGATCTGCCTCGGGTCTCTGGGACGCAGGCGATCACGAAGAAGAAACCGACGAGAACGATCGTGCCGAACATCCAGAAGGCCCCGTGTGGCCCTATCACCGAGACCAGATCCTCGTAAGTCTTGGTAACGACGAACGTGCACGTCCAGTTGAATGCTGTGGCGACGCTGGCGGCAGAGCCGCGTATCTTGACGGGCAAGATCTCGCCCATCATCAGCCAGGGGATAGGGCCGAATCCAAGGGAGAACCCGATCACGTAAACGACAAGGCTGACTAGGGGTATCCAGCCAAATGCCGACACGTCCGCCCCCCCTGCCTTCACGTAGAAGAACGTACCGAAGGTGAACAGAGTTATACACATAGATATGCCGCTTATGTAGAGCAACATCTTTCTGCCCAATTTGTCGATAACAGCTGCCGCGACGAACGTAGAGATGAAGTTGACGATTCCTACGAAGATGGTGGAGAGATTCTCGTCGATACTGCTCCCAGCGTCCTGAAAGATAGGATTCTCTCCGTTGTATCGTTATATGTAACTAACTAGTTTTCCTAGTTTACCTTGAAAATTTGCACGGTGTAGAATATGACCGCGTTGATACCAGACAGCTGTTGGAAGAACATCAGGCCGAGGGAAATGAGAAGCGGCTTGAGATGGCTTTTCTTGAACAGTTCCATGAACGCACCCTGCGACACGTTACGCTCGCTCTCCGTGTGCAACCTCTCGACGGCGGACATCTCGTCGGTGATATCGGTGCCCTTGCCCCTCAACCACTGCAGCGCTTTCCTCGCTCTCTTCTTCTTCCCCTTGGAGATGTACCACCTCGGAGTTTCGGGGATGGTGAACATGAGTATGAGGAACGGTATCGGTAAACTGGCGCCCACTAACGCCAGGTTTCTCCAGTCGAGATACATGCCCACCACGAAGCAGAGTAAAATCCCTGGAGAGAAGGAGAAAGCAGTGGTTGCGATCGTTGCCGTTTCGCTTAAGATAACAGAACCAGCTGTTGTTGTTACCTGTGTTGCCAAAAGCGGTTGGTAATAGTCCAAGGGTGCCTCGTACCTCGGCCTGTATCGTTTCGCCAAGGTAGACCGGCAAGGAGAGCGAAGCGATGCCGACGCAGAAGCCGCAGAGGGCGCGACCGACCAGTACCATCGCGACATTCGTTGCCAGCGCGATCAATAGCCAGGCTGAAACGTAGAGAGGAATTTTCTCGAGAAGGCTGTCCCAAGTGTTCTCCTCGCGGCGCGTGAACGCGATATCTCTTACCTGCGATGAACGGTAAAGCGGTGGAGAGAATGGTGTTCCTTCTACCGAGGTACTCGATGCACGGACCACCGGCTATGCCTCCGAAAAGCGCGCTCAACGGCATGATCGATCCTATCCACATACCCTGTGAAGGAAAAGGTGAATTTGCTCGCGTCACGATCGGTTTCTCTGGGTTACGCGCGGTGACCTTGACAAACGCGGAAGTATGTGTTTATTCGCAATGGAATCGGCTCGGTGTCGATTCGAACGGAGTCGGTTGCGGCAAAGTCAAGAACGCCGCGGCGCTCCTCGATCGATCAGCGTGTCGTCGCGATTATCGAGGCTGGACCTCGACTACGCCGCGTACTGACGCACTCGCGAGGGGTTAAACTCTCAATATCATTCATTGACCTTTGCTCGTTGCGACGTCGACTTTCGATGGGCAGTCTCCCACGATCCGCCGTCGTCCTTCCGGAGAAGAACTTTCGAGACGTTTCCAAGTTGCGAGAAGGCGAGCGGGGGGCGAAGGAGGGAACCACGCGCGCGGCGTTTCTCTTATCGAGAGCAGAATGCGACGCGTGTTCTCGATGGAGCTCGCGTAATCGAAATACGGTGGAAAACAAACGTGCCTTGTTACGGATCGTTCGGCCTTGCCTTGGCGCGCTCCCCGGATAACGTTGTTTCTCGTTCCACGGCTGAAATATTCCAGATATGCGCGATCCCCTCGCGAGGCACGTTTGTTTGAAAACAATCACGTCCAAGAGGTAGGCGCGGCGATATATTAACGATATATTGTACGTATATACACGTTAAATTTCTTGTCCCTTTTCTTACTTACAACTTCCTTCGTCACTTCGAACGTAGCCGTCGCATTGTCCCGCATCGAGACCAAACCCGGGGAGGTGTAGGAACTCGAGTAACCGACCACCATGGAGCCCATTGACACCGATAGGGCGGCCAGTACCTGAAAAGGTTGAACGGAAAGCGTGCGTTGAGTAGAGTAGTGTCGAGTAGGTTCGCGTGATTCGAGCCAAGTGGAAACTGGAGCTACGCGTAACGCGAGAATCGCAACGACGCGACACAGTCTTCTGTAATAAGCTAGAGAGATCCGGTAGAATCTCGACCGATACTCGATACAAAAGGTCGTTTGCGCGTGCGAACGATTCGCGGAGAATATCGAGCAAAAATTTCTATACCGAGATGTATATGTACATACAACGTATGCAATGTCGTTGTCGATACCTGAGTGAAGGTGCATTTAGCGACTGGCGCGTTGCCCGGTAATTCGATGTCCACATGGGTATCAGCTCGCATAAGAATCTTCATGATCGAGAGGGAGGTAGGTGACGACGACGATACCAGAGGACGAGGAGTGACGGGCGAACGGAACGGGAATGTTCCGCGAGAGAACCGTCAGAATGGCTACGATCGTCGCACGATTTTCATTTGTTGCTGCGCGTGTTCTTGACTTGAGAGACGCGAAACCTCGAACGCGCGCCCCGTTCGATATCGATTTAACTCTATCGAATCGATGGGGATCGCCTGTTAACCGATCTCGTTGCGCGCGTCAGTCGACCGTTTGCTCTGGCCGCGTAATCAAGCGGTGCGTGCTCGTGTCCTTTTGCCTTCACGATGTGCTCGTCGCTAATTTTCTCCCTGCTGCTGCTGCTGCTGCTGCTGCTGCTGCTGCTGCTTGTCGTGGTGATCGCCGTGATCGCCGTGATCGTCGTGGTCGTCGTGGTCGTCGTCGTCAACGTCGTCAACGTCGTTCCCGTATATTATTGACACGCTATTGGCACTCGTGGACCGACGGGTGGTTACCTGTTTATATAGGGGAACGATGCTGGGGGGCCGCGGCTATCCCTTCCCTTGTCATCGCGAGGATCCATCGTCCGCGAATCGGACGATGTATGCGCGCGGTCGTTTCGCGTACGCGGGGTTCTACGCGCGAGCGTAACTCGTGCCATTCCTTTGTGTCTTACTCGACATAAACTACATACATAATTTGGAGAGACCGCGAGGACGGGAAACCTGTTTCAAGTTCGATCGGGCACAGTCTATGTATTCGGTTTTTCCCTATCAGCCTCCCTCTAACAGCGAGGGGCGCGCAATCGAACGCGATTCGATCGAAGAAATATCGCGTTAAGAAAAATAAGGAGATCTTACTACCCGCGACCTTCTTTTGCCGTTGCGTAATCGTCTTTGTCGTAGCAAGTCCCGCGTTCCGTATGAAAATTTCCACTGTCGCGGGCAAAGTAGTAGATACGTAGCAGTAGAGATAGAGAAGAAGAAGGGGCGCGTTCGAAAGGATATTGTTAAGGGAGAAGCTGTTTCGCGACAGCTGCGTTCAACTCCTTTTAACACTGTTAATTGTTTAATACGGTCCACGACGGACCGGGTGTGTGAACGTCAGCGATATACGTGGAAAGAAATTAAGTCGTTAGTTATTATCAGAAGCGCGCAAGGTCGGTGTAGATGAGTAGAAACGTGCACGTACGCGTGCGGTGCATGCATTCATCTTTTGTTTTTCCTAATTGCCTGCCCGCTTCTTTCGAAACAGACGCGCGAGATGGAAAGAGGTTCCCCCCTTTCTTTCGCGCACCTGCCCTATTGGTTTCCTCGATGAACCGATCAAACGATCTTGGTTGGCGAGGAGCGTGATCGGAATAAAGATCTCGGTCGCGAGAACCGCGTAGCGTAAGTAGAAAAGGAAGAAACTTTTTCCACGAAGGCTACACTACGAAGGCTCTGGGTTCGCGAGCTTTCGTCACCATGTTTATTCGGGCACTCTTTGCGCAATAATAATGAATACAACTACGTAGATGTCGTAAACACGAGCGATCACGATGCTCTCGAGTTTTTAGCTCGAACGACAGGGCGGAGAAGGCACGCGCGGCATTCGATTCGCGCGAGACGGAAGAAGATTCGGGATCCGTGTCGCGCAACTCTCGCGCAACATTCCCTGGGAAACTAACGAAAGATTTCTACTCGCGGTGATTCACCGGATATCCTAGAGATCTGTTGTAAACTATAGTCTCGCGTCTGGTAGTCGGAGGTAGGATTCTAAGCGTCGAATCGAGTCGAATCGAAAAATGGATCAAGGATGATCGGGCTTGATCCTTGAGACTTGTGTGCGAGTAGAAACGAACGAGGTCTCTGCCGTTTCCTCGTGGCACGGCGACGTAACGCCGCCGCGGCGCGGCGTCGAGCGAACAATAAGTCAGAGTCGCGCGCGCGCGCGGTACACGAGAAGAAAAGAAATTTACGAGTATAGAGTTCTCTCGATAAACATCTGCTCGTGCGGCCGTGAAACGAAGAAAGTGGAGCATGTTGGGTAAAAAGAAAAATCGCGTGGCAATTACCTGAGTGGCAAATCGCATCGGGGACGGCTTCGCCTCCTGGAATTGCGTAGGTACGTGATGCTTACTGCCGACGATCGACTCCTTGGACAGTTTCTCATCCTGCGCGGTGCCCATGGTTGGCTTTACGCTTATCACCCCCGTGTACGGAGGTTTGCCGGCCAACAGTGGATCGATTTGCTTGTAATCGTGATCGAGATCCCTGTCGAGGGGGTCGTAAATGCGAGACCCGTTCAGGGCCTTTTGATGATTGTTCCTCAGGTTCTGTGCATAGTAGTGGTTGTTGGTCGAAGGGGCAACTATGCTCCCGGAAGGGATCACCTTCTTCTCTGCGATCAGGGCGGTTTGGCTGTTGAACGGGCTGG